TGTTTGTGATTTTTACTTAAATTATTAGTATTTGAACCCAACAAAACCAAACTTTTTTAAGGTACTCTTAAGATCTTTTCCATTGTTTATTTTTCTTTGACCATCATTTCTGCTGGTTATTAATAGCAGTTTTGATAATAAGCATGCTCCATCGTATTTAAAACGTACTTAAATTCAGCATATCTTGATAAATCAGCTTGTTAATCACAGGCCAACATCTAAGCTGACATTTCTAAAAACAAAATGTATTCACCGAATGTATTCATCTGCCATTTTACATAATTTTTTTATTTTATTTCAGACAAAACTATGAAAGCAAAAGTCACAAAGACTCTTAAATTTATAGTTAAAAGGAAAAAAAGTAGACATATTTGGATTATTCAAAGAAAATGGCAATTGAAAACTCCTTGACTCACAGACCAATGGACCTGTTAGGACTTGGCAGAAAAGTTAAATGCACATGGAAAAAGGAAATAACATGGGTCATGGGTTGTTCTTCGCATATTGTAAAGATTCAGTGAGAATGCAGAACTCCCAGTGTTTAAAAGCTAAACCTTTCTCTTGGATTATGTTGAAGCCTCAAAAGATGGCAAACAATAATTGTGATGGCCACTTGGGCTTGGGAGAGTCATAGAAAACACTTGTCACTCTGAACAGTTCAGCTTTGTGCAGAAACACCACTGAGTTCACTGGACACATGCCTATTACATTGATGGGAATACTGTAGACATGTTCTCTAAAATGTAACTACATCTTATTTATATTTTGTGAAAAACATTCCACGTGGCAAAGATGAGAAATACCATCAATGATTTTATCAGAAAAAAGCAAGCAATGTCTTCTGTTTTGTATTAACACATGAGTGCACATGGTGTGTGTCTCTCTGTGTCTATGAGTGTATGTGGGGTGGATTATTAGATGAATTAAGTTGATGTATATCTGTTTATTGGAACTTTAGAAACTGTTTGTTATCATTGAAAATACACTTTTCTTTCCTCTGGGATTGATGGTGTTTCAGCAGGCCAGTGTCAGATCTGATTTTAGGCCACTTTTACAAGTGTAATTTTACAAAAACAACACATCACTGTAATTAATGACATGCATCTTTACTGTTATACAGTTCAACACCATATGATGTTGTATTTATTCCTATTTATTTCAATTTCTTACATTTTCAAAAAAAAATGCTATCCTTGTGGCCTTTGCATCTGTTGAGTTCAAACTACTTAACAAATGACATATATACGTGCTGTTTTATACTGAAAAAGTCCCATATTTTACGTTTATCATAGGTATACCACGAGACAAACTTTATTTGCTTTTAATTATATATATAAAAAATAAATAAATAAAAGTTGTCAGGTTTGTTAACTCTCTAATAACAATCATTCACTGTGAGTCTTGTAGTAACTTCTGGTTCTTTCTTCTCTCAGGTGAAAGGCCATTTCAGTGTAACCAGTGTGGTGTGTCGTTCACCCAAAAAGGAAACCTGCTGCGACACATTAAGTTGCACACTGGTGAAAAACCCTTCAAATGCCCCTTCTGCAGCTACGCTTGTCGGCGACGTGATGCCCTTACTGGTCATTTGCGCACTCATTCTGGTAAGTATCTTTTTCAGGCTTTTCTCTACTGTTTTTTTTTTTAACTCATTCACCTCTGCTTCCCTAAACGGACTTTGCTGTACCACAAAAAAGTGGTTCACAGATAAAAAAACAAAAGGAGAAGTTGTAATTTTATATTTAGACAGAGACATGCATGCTATTTTTTTCCCAAAATTAGGTTGGTGTTACACGTACATACTTCCCTTAATTGTTTTGTGTCTACAGGAACATTAGTCTTTTACTAAAACAACACACATTAGTAAAAGACCGATGTTCTTGTAGACACAAAACTATATACAGGTACATATATTCATTCAACCTTTATTTAAACAGGTTAGTCCCATTGAGCTATGAGGACTCTTTTACAAGAGAGACCTGGAAAAAAAGATTAAGTGAAAAAAAAAAAAAAAAA